TTCAGTAAAACATTTATCAAAAGTACTTTCTAAGTAGAGAATTGAATGATTTTACATTTTACATGCTAAATGTCTCCCTAATGTTGTTAAAATTAGCGATACGGAGCGTGAAAGTAATTTTGACCACCTCACTGAAACACCTGTGTTATTTCAATAAGAGGATCATTAAAGATTATTGAATTTGAAACCATTAACTTTTGTAAAGCCTGGACAATTAAATCATATTTTTGCCAAGTGGACAATTTAGCAAATTTAATTATCTCTTACAATTTCAATTTTGAGAGCAATCGGATGGATGGATCGTTCCTCATATGGCTTATGACAACCCAACCATTCCCCATTTGTTTAACATGGGATCTGCCATTTTTCTTAAATTTCATGAAATATTCATCAATTTTGACATCAAATTTTGACCCAAGGTAATGGAGATAAAACATTGAAATGTTGCGGACTTTATAGGGAATAGAATCAAGATACAGATTTATTTTCTTTATTGGGATTTCTTTTGTTCCACGCTTAGAAAATAGTCGTTCAAACAAATATGGGAGTTAACATGTAAACCTATGAGGAAAACCACTGGTCCTTAACTTTTTTTGAGGAGTATAGAAAAATTCATAGTGATTTTTGGGCATTTTGGTAATAAAGCCTTTGGGTTGTAATAGGAAGATTGTCTTTATCATTAGAATTTTTCTCCACGGGGTCTTTTGCACATTGATAAATTATATACTAGAACATTTACTACTATACACACCAGCGGATCTAGACGGGGGCGTGGGAAACACCCCCCTCCTTCCCTAAAAAATGTCACGCCCCCCCCCCCCAACATAAAATCCTGGATCCGCCACTGATACATAGATTTGCAATGTCTAGGTTTTATTCAAGTAACTGACTCCACTGAGTGTGTATTCAAATGTTGTGCTTATAAAATGTAGACTCCTATACTACCTTTTGAATGGAAATAAACTCTTCCAAAAGTGATAGGGCCTTAGTGCACCCATGCCATCGCAAGGACCTTAGGTTGGCATGCCAAAATGTAGAATCTCTAATAACAAGACATTTTTAATATCTTCCCATCTTTCTCCCCTTCCAACTTCTACATCTATTGAATAATGTTTTTCAATAAATCTTTTTAAGCCCAAGAAAAGTTGGGCGCACCTAGCACATTCGAAGATCTTGTAAATAGATGAATTAAGGATTTAAGCCTTGGACTTGCAATGTGGAATTACCATTCCTTGAAGGTGTTGCTTTCCAAAATTTGCACGAGATACGCCATCCTTTTTGGGCATAACTTGGCCTTTTTTTTAAAATAGACCATAAATTTTCAAAAGGGCCCAATTTTTAGTTGTAAGGGCCCACTGACTTGAAATGTCCCCCCTTGTTAGCTTCTGGATCCGCCAGTACGACCTCACACGTTATAAATAGATGCGTTAAGTTTTCTATGTGCTTGCTACAAAACTGCAAATTGTTTTTTCTAGCTTTCTAAAGATGGCACTTGGTGCTTCTGCGGACTCGGGCGTTACAATTCTCCCTACAATAATAAAACGTGCACGTAAACATCCCCAATAATTTCTACAGTTTTGCGGCTGATACACTAAGGAATTACTTATCAGTCAAATGCTGATGTAGATCATGAAAATGTTGCAGAAGTCAGTTTAATCCCATGATTCAAGTTAATTTTGTTTCTCTGTCTCGGACATCATTGGCCAGTCAAAGTCACGTGAAATCTAAATAGGTACTCTACTCATAAAGAAGATGGGAGAGAGGTGTAGTACGGTCATTTCAGTAATAACCCTAAGAAGGCTATCTTAGTATATGTTCTTTACTGATCCTAAGTTCGGCTTACAAGACCCAATTTTGCTGATTTAATGTCTACTCTAAACCGTCTGACGATAAAGAACTAATTCAATCAAACTGACATAGAGGGTTGAGAATCTTTACAGAAATCAACTCAGTGGCAGATAATTATAATATATGGTTGCATCAACTACTCTGTTTTCCATGTTTACTCTATGAATAAAATTGAGGCCCAAAATCTACTTCTCCCAAATAGGGCAATTAGGTAACAGGCTGGCATTACTTGGCATCATTTTTTAATGCTGGGTCGAAACGATTTTGGCCGACAATTTTGGGCCATCCTTCTTTTGATTTTCAAGTCAGTAGGCCCTTATCTCAGTTGCACCCACCGTAACAATATCAAGGAACAATGAATGGGGCGTATGCAAGGAGCGTTTAATAGTTGATCATGAACACTGGTGAGTTACGATTCAGATATACGATTCAGACGATTCATTAACCCTAATGTGTGCATTCTTTTTATAACACTAAGTCGCGGGGGAGGGGGGGGGGCGGGGTCCAGCCCCTACTGCGATTTTTATTAATTGTCTGATTTCAATAATGATGGTATCGTCGTAAATCTTATTCAATTAACTCTTCAGAAAAGTAATTCTTTGTAAAAGAAGGGCAATGAAGGCCAAATCGAGGTCAACGTGACCTAGCTAGCCAAAACTGCTACCCCTCCCAAAAGAAGAATCTGATATCTTTTAAATTAAAATATAATAAAAAAAGCTTTTCTCTAACAGTATCATTATGTTTAAAGCAATGTACATGTTTGAGAACAAATAGTTCAGACGACCACATAATCGTCCATTTAATACCTCGCTATTGTTACATCGACGGAACGGGTTAGAAGTGCAGATTTTACGTAACAAAAATGAGGTATTACAAGTTAGAAACAATGTAATAATCAATATTTTAAAATGGTGTTTTATATCTGTGGCTCAAGCTAAAAAAATAACGAAGACACAAAAATGCAAAAAGTACTGTTGAAGAAATCGATGGGGGTCAATGAGTCGCCCCCCCCCCCCCTACGGAGATTCACTTAGATCGATTATAAGTCATCATTTTATAACGGCATACAAGACAACAAGGACCATGGACGCAGGACTCATAGCTCTGAAGAAGCTCCATTAAATGAAAGTGAATTGATTCCTTGTAGTTAATTACCCATCGCATTCCTCGATTTATAGGTAAAACAATTCCCAAGTTACGCTTATGAGGGCCCTGTTAAAATTCGGATAAGAAAATCAAATTTCAATTCATTAAAGGAACATCAGTAAATACTTACTGAATGAGATTGCCTAAATAACATGGTCATTTGTGGCTTTGTGTTTACATTAACTTAAGAAAAGCTATGGATATTTCATTAAATGTCTATGTCCAAATGCCAATTGAATCTTTTGACAAATCACATACGATACATTTTGCCAATCAATCACCCATCCTTGACATAAGCGAAATGTTTGGTCTTAGTGTCATTACTCGCTAGAGTTACTACGAAGTCGGAGATATCTATTTAGCTAGTATAGGAGGCATATTTTCATGAAATAGTAACTGCCCCTGACATATTTTATATACCTTCCATATTTATTAATTGTAAATGATCTCTCGAGTAGTGACTTATTATTGTTTCTATTGCCCAATCTGATACTCAGACCATCTATGTAGTGTCAGTTGTTTCCACCTTTGTGTCGTTCTGCTTTTTGTAGGGGGCAAAAGACAATGTTTAAAATATAGTTCCCGAATGTTATCTTTAGCAGCGCTGTCTTAAATGAAAATGTTGCAGTTAGTATGCATGTTGAATTGCTTACGTGTTAAATATGTATCTATTTTAATTGCATAAAATGATAAAAATATTGGCATCGATATTGGTTCAGACTTTCCACTTTTATTACTTTTATCCTTTGGTGAGGAGATATTGTTTTACAACATAGCATAGCCGGTTATTGTTCTACATGTACAACATAGCATAGACGGTTATTGTTTTACAACATAGCATAGCCGGTTATTGTTTGACAACATAGCATAGCCGGTTATTGTTTTACAACATAGCATAGCCGGTTATTGTTTTACAACACAGCATAGACGGTTTATTGTTTTACAACATATCATAGACGGCTTATTATTTGAAATCAAGGACGAGATAGATACCCTTGCTGGAATTTTAAAATGAGAAATATATCATATCAAATGTGTACGATGCCCATTGGAATAACATTGGTTGGCTCAAAGAATAATTATTTCTATTAGTGCTCTCTCACGATGCCTTAACTTTTTAAATTAACTACTGATTTTAATTCTTCAGTATTAATCTTAGTAAAGTTTTTCTGGAATATGAACAGATTTAGGAATCATTTTTATACTTAAATTAATAATTTGAATTGAATAGCAATTCTTGTGAAGTGCGAAAATATCCCGTATGTATGAAAAATAGTATAGAGCTTGAAAAGAGGGCCGTGCCCATATTCGCAAGTATGCCGATTATATCTATTTTAAAACGAGGTACTTTAATATTTAATATAAAAACCATTCTTAGGATTAAACTATACTGGATCAGATGATTTTTGACGTCCATATTTGGAAGTCAAATAATATCGAAAAGCAGTCAATAAATGTCAGAAAGCATCTCTTTGCTATTCATCTGCTACAGAGGTCATATCCAATCTAGCCAAACTTGTCCAATTTAGTCATAAAATATTAGAAAATTTGAATTTGCCTTTCAAATGGCTAAAGTGGGAAAATTATTGTCTTTCTATTGGAAGCATCGATTGAAATGGAAGAATTTCCAGCAATAAATTATCGTCGACTAATTGGATGTTTAAGTGTATTTTCCTGGTTTATTAATATGTCTGAGATTTCTACTGTGCTATTTACTGCGGCGTTTAGTGCTACGGCTCTTTGAAAAGCAAATTTGTTTGTTGCCAATTTATAAGTGATTTGCTTTCACAAGAGGATAACGCAGATTTAACGATAAGATTTGCGCAAAGACTCCGAGTGTATTATCCACACGATTGGATCAGAATCTCAACAATACACTGATTTATTCCACTTTGTACAATCACAATCAAATACAAAGATATTCATAAAGAATTATATGAAAAAGATGGGATAGAAATGTCAGGATAAAACCCGATTGTTTGTTTATTTAAGCGTAATTGGATATGGTTTTCTGAAACTACCGAATTGGTGAGTCAATCTCTTCAGCTCAGGATATGGACTCAAAACCATCGGGGCAATAATGGATATTTGTATTGCTTAAAAGTAAAGGTAAGTTAACTTATAAGTTATGTTCACTTTCAATGGAATGCTTCGTTAGCGATCCCATTTCAGTGAAAAAACTGGTATAACTTCAACACTTGATGTATTTTTGTGGGAATCTCAACAGTCAATACAATAGTGCTCGTTTTTATATTTGTCCATTTCGAATCTGAACTGCATCATTTGTTAATTATTTTTATTACTTTTGATAGTAAAGAACACAATTGTTGCTTTACATAAATACATAAATAATGCCTGCAATCTTCCGTTGATTACTCCATTTTAACTGTACTTATTAAACAATGAAATAGGTAATGATTCTAAATGATTTGGGTTTCCTTACTACATACAATAATTAATATAAATTGAAAACTAAATTTTCAAACCAGCCAATGACTACATAGTATCAACTGAACCATGAACAGAAACTATTTGTTCGCAGTTAACGTCTTGCTTTAGAATGGACTCATATTTTGTTCTCATTTTGTCTATTCCAATTTGGCTTTGATTAATCAACATGTTTAACCTAGCGCCGATGAACCAATCTCGCAAATTCAGCGAGACTAAGGATCAAAACGCACAATGACTTTCAAATTTTGCAGAGCCTAATGAAATGTTTTATTCAATTAAAAAGACACTCTCACACTTCATTAAGTTCATGCATCATAACAAATGTCTTTATTTGTAAATATAACGTCTTTGTAAAGACGGAGATCTTACCGATCTGGGAATACTTACCATTTAGAACTACAATTCATTTTAATTATTGATAAGTCTTGTAAATCATTAGTATTGACGTTTGCCGGACAAATGATCAAATTGTTTATTTTCACATTTAGCAAAGAAATAATAACTGCATACTAACTGTCTGGTTATTTTATGATATTTTAGGTAATCGTTGCTGGATTAGAACAGTTGTTTGATAAAACAGGAACGTATTAGGAGACTGTGCGACGATGGGTAATATTCTGTACACGTTCTCTAGGGTCAACCAACTTGGAAGTCGAAACGATGATGACTTCTCGGATAGGCTCAGTCATCGTTATACGACAATCCTCCTTACCGTATTCTCCATACTGGTGACGGGAAAACAATACACGGGGGATCCGATTCACTGCTGGTGTCCAGCGGCGTTCTCAGACGCACAGGTGAATTATGCAAACAGTTTATGCTGGATAAAGAACACATACTACATACCTATAGGTGATTTACTACCTCTAGAAGATGAACCAAGACGGAGTAAAGAGATCAGTTATTACCAATGGGTACCTATAGTACTCCTCGGCCAGGCATGTTTGTTTTACCTCCCCTGTTTAGTATGGAGGATTTTAAATTCCAGATCTGGGATAAATGTAAATAACATCGTTCGCACTGTCAGCGACAGTGATCACGTGAACCCTGACATCCGGGAACGCACGATCAAGTATCTCGTGCGACATATGGACAGATGCTTCGAGAATCAGAGAGAATATCGCACGGGATGGTGCATCAAAGTGCGACAGTTTATTGCGACGAAGATGTGTTTACTTTGCGGCAGACGATATGGCAATTTTTTGATCGCATCATATTTGTTAGTCAAACTGCTGTATTTTTTAAACGCATTGGGTCAGCTGTTTCTGATGAATGCATTCCTGAAAACAGAATACATGTTGTATGGCTACGAAGTTCTCCGAGATCTTGCGAAGATGGACGATTGGACTGCATCAATTCGGTTCCCAAGGGTTACGTTATGTGACTTCAAAATCAGAATGTTTGGACACAATGTGCACAGATACACCGTCCAGTGCGTTCTACCAATTAATCTCTTTAATGAGAAAATCTACATTTTCTTGTGGTTCTGGTTTGTCGTAATTGCATGCTCAGCATTCTATACCTTTATGTCCACTCTGATGATTGCCATTGCCGGGAATCGAATCAGATACATAAAGAAATATCTGAAACTAATGGGCAGATACGACAAAGAAACTGAAAAGAAAGTTATCGGAAAGTTTGTGAATTTGTATCTAAAACAAGATGGCGTTTTTGTGGTTAGACTTCTTTCCAAGAATACAAACGACGTATTTGTGTCGGAGATTATTTGTGGGTTATGGACATTTTACAAGAACTACAGAAGAACTGGGGCTGAAGTTGCGATGGTATGACTACCGCAAGTTGCAAATGTTTGCAAACAAAATGGAAATGGTCACGCAGGGGCAATTAATTGATTGCCCTAACGTAAGTGAAGGACACGAAATTTCCATTGCAGAACTTCCTTTTAATATAACCTTGCATTGCAGAGATAACAAGGAGGCATCTAAATTACGACATCGATCCAATTTGATTGATTTCTAATATAACGCCTTGGCAGGTTTTAAACCGTATCTGGAAACATTCCCCTTTTACTTACTTTGGAAATGCCAGTACATTAGAGTTGCCCTGAGATAGGAGGTCTAAATTGATTACTTTAGGGTTTGTATTGACAGTAATGACAGAATTATATCGGTCATCTCAAATACTTAGATGTTTCTTTTAAGACAATTGAATCGTCCGAGGCATCTTCTTGCTTGACGTCATTGTCAATTAGGGTAATCGTCAAGAGTTTTGGATTTTATGAGTTAGTCGCCAAATAAATGTATATATAGTTGAATAGATATAGCTCTTGATGTAATCACTGTAAATACTAGTCGCCTCTCAATCAAATGTACTACGTAAGATGATGAGACCAATGCTTATACTAATAAGGAACAAGTGACTTTTAGATGAAATGTCTTCGGCCATAAAAAAGAAAGCCTGTGTGAATTCTGAGTAGTTAATTAATCGAGTCTAACTTTTGCATTTTACGAATCCATATAAAGTACTGAAAATGGTCAACCGATCCGAGATGACTATAAAGCCTGACATCAGCCTGACATCAGCCACTTGAACATCAGTTCCCATAAACCAATAAAGCAAACTGCTCTGAACCCGAATACAATTTAGCCTAATAGGCATAGCATAATGCCATTATATAAACACAATGTTAAGATACATCATCATTATGAAATGCATTGTATTTGTGTCTTGAATATAACAAATGCACCTAAACACATACTATACATGGTGGTGCTGAGGATGCTGCACTCAGAGAAAAAAAACATAATTATAATAAACTGAACATAAACTACACCGTCTGACAAAGATACAACGCACTTGTAATATTCCATGAACGACAAGACAATACATTTGGACATTGCACATAACACAATAATGTACTTGACAAAGATACAATGCATTTAATAAAATAATTTACCTTGCCATCAATACGATGTACTTGACCACACGACAATTCATTCGATAAAATATTTTGCCTCGACATCAAAACGAAATACTTGACCAAAAAACAATGCATTTGATAAAATATTTTGCTTTGACATCAATACGATGTACATTTGATCAAATGTTTTGCATTGACATCAATACGATGTACTTGACAACAAGACAATACATTTGATCAAATGTTTTGCATTGACATCAATACGATGTACTTGACCACAAGACAATACATTTGATAAAATGCTTTGCTTTGACATCAATACGATGTCCTTGACCACAAGACAATACATTTGATAAAATGCTTTGCTTTGACATCAATACGATGTTCTTGACCACAAGACAATACATTTGATAAAATGCTTTGCTTTGACATCAATACGATGTACTTGACCACAAGATAATACATTTGATAAAATGCTTTGCTTTGACATCAATACGATGTACTTGACCACAAGACAATACATTTGATAAAATGCTTTGCTTTGACATCAATACGATGTACTTGACCACAAGACAATACATTTGATAAAATGCTTTGTATTGACATCAATACGATGTACTTGACCAAAAGACAATGCAATTGATAAAATATTTTAACTTAACATCAATATAATGTACTTGGCCACAAGAGCATGAACACAGTTGACTTCCGGTTAATGTTCTCGACCAGAATGAAATGGACTTATACCACTCTGTTATACCATGACGATTACGTCAAGGCGATTTGCAAAAGGTCAGTAACAATTACAAAAATGGCGGATGGGAGACAGCATGTCCTCTTTTTCGCCTGTAGGCATGATTCACAGGTAAGATTTCCTTTTAAACTAGTTCCATTCGGTGAAGTATATATGGATGGTTATAAAGACTGAGTTAAATATGCGATGTGGTCTACAAGAAGCAGAATATAAGCTGTAAACACACCGGCTGAGATATTCAAGTTCATAATTTTTAGTCCATTCTCGTGTTTTCTCAGTATATGTGCCCCAGAGCCACTCAAAATACTAACTGTAAGTTAACTGTGTGTAAAAAAGCCATAAAATGACAAATCCAGAAAAGAAATGTGGTGTATATTGTAAATAATAAGGTTTCCATCACAAGGTCATTAGACGACTACGTATGAATTACATGATTTTTTATGGACGGTTACGTGTTGTATTAGTTGTACATTAGATATTTAGCGGATGGTTACGTGCATGTACGCCTGTCGAGTCAAGGTTGCTAGTTATGAAAGCCTCTTTCCATGTTATTGTTATATTGAGTAAAAAATGGAATACTGAATTGCCTATATTTGTTTTCAGGACTCAAATCATATCCGGTTGAAAGATATCTAGCAACATTTCAATTTTTGGTTCACAAGCGATATATGAAATGAACTGGGATTTCATATTTAAACTAGGTTCGCATAACCGTCCATCAATTTTTTTGCGTTACTGCAAGTTCAAAATACATTATTATAGAGTAGAACATATTAGGGGGTTTCCAATGCTTAATTGGCTTTGTATGATCGTATGTAGGTTACATCAGCTATATACACCAAGGTCGTTAGGCAATGTAGACCATGCCCTAACGAGGAAAATAAACAAATTACTAAATTTTATGTAGTTTTGAATTTCAAACTTGACAGTTTTTCGCATATTTCATGTTATCCCCGGGCATCAATTTGCAAAGACTACGTTCAAAATATACATGCATCATCATGCATGAATGATCATCGAATGCGACGCTTGCATAAATAGTTTATGATTTCATTGATACACAGTAGTAGGAAAGAATGCACCAACTTTAGCTTTCGGTTCCATCGTGGCCATTTTATTGGATACATCGGCGAACGTAGCAGTCGTACCTCGTTTTCAGAGGTGGCGTAACCGTCATGCTGTAACAGCGTGTATATTTGAACATAATATGACACACTTTATCTATACATACACTCCCCTCCATAAGTTTGGCAACCTTTTTTCCCCATTGAACTACGTGTTAAAGCCTCTTTACCTTTGCATTTTATTTACTTAACCTGAAAATCGACATTCCCATGTTAACCAATGGGAAATGGTAGGTTTGCCGCAAGTCATATGACAGAATATCCATCCATCCGAGTCCTTGCAAAAATACGAGTTAGGCAGGCAATTGAATTTGCTAACTTTATTGATATGTTTCTTCAGGTTCAACAAAGTTATAAGGCTTTAAAGTCAAAATTGTTTTTTTTTAAAAACCTCCCATTGAAATAACAGGAGGCGATAAATTGTTTTCAAAAATGACTTTGAAGCGCTGTAACTTTAATATTCATGAAATAAACTAAACACTTAGTGTTCAAAAAAGTTAGACAATTCAACTTTCTATATAAAAATATATTTTTTTTGCTGAATATTTTACTGAAAAGATATCCTGATTTCTGATTTGCCCCGAACCCTTCATTTCCCATTCGATTACATGGGAATGACGATTTTCAAAAATTCATCAAATTTATCATCAATTTTCGACCTATTGTAATTGAGGAAAAAAATTGAGAAAATTTGGAGGTATTGGAAATAAAGTCAAGTTACGTTTCCATCAATATTATAAGTTATTTCATCGCCGGTTAAGTAAATAAAAATTCAAACGTAAAGAGGCTTTAACACGTAGTTCAATGGGGGAAAAAGGTTGCCAAACTTATGGAGGGGAGTGTAATACATTTAAACTTAGAATAACAGAAGCGTACTTGGCCATTAGAATACACATTTCAAGACCCAAGTTGAAATACTTCGATTGAAAAGCATATACGATACACCATTGATTAGATGCACTTGAACAAAAAACACATACAGAAAATACTTAACTATTGGACAGAAGAGGGTGCACATAAAAAAGCAATGTTGTAGTTGGACAAAATTAAATCGAAGTCTGTAAAATCATCAATAACGTTAACAAAATTGTATTTTCTTAATTTAGATGATACGAGACATATATTTGAAATAATGCAGGATTGACCAACCATATCCAGTTATCATCATAAAATGTCATATTATATTGATTCTGGACACATTTAAGAAACTGAATTATGTGCAATCAAGTATAGACGGAATAGTTATTTTGATGTGTTTAAAACTAGATTTATCAATTTCATTTGGAATCCTATCAACATCGACTGTATCTGATGAATTCCATATCACTTTGAGTTAACACAGCAGATTTCTTATGAGTACTACTTAGAGTCTTATAATTGTTTATGGAGCTATATAAAACGCTGGTTTGACTCAGCATTATATAAAAAATGATAGACTCATAAAACACCACCGTGAAATCAATAAAATCATCCGGCTATTAGCTTGTGATAGTCTACACGACGAACTAATCCCAACGAGTTCGAACGATTCAGTAAAGACATGCAAAATAGCTTGCATGACTAACTGTATTTATATTACGATTTCAATTCTTTGAGTTAGATAAAAACAATAAATGAATGGAGAAGATGATCGGATGTTGCATGCATGCGAGCTTCAGCAAGTCATGCACCAAGCTGTGAGAACCCAGTGGAGCCGGGAATGTTGATTTCTATTTGGTCTATTTGCTTCTTTCTCAATTGTGGCTGTTGTAGCTTGAACAGCAGAATAGTATCACTCTCGTCGATTTAGACTGGTAAGTTTGGATGAAAATTAAAACAACTTATATCAAGCACCCACGCGTTAAAAATAGCCGACCCTAACTAATGATATTAAATAATATAATTTGCTCAATACTCTCCGCCTTAATCGAGCTCACAACTAATTATTCCACGTATTAACAGCTTATATTATTAAGGGTAGTATTTCAATATTATTCCATACATTAACAGCTTAATGGTAGTATTTCTGCTCAATCATGGTCAGTTTAGATATTTAAGTATAAAGGAAACAATCATTCCCAAGGTCAACTAAATACAATGCGATTATCAGAATGTCATTGGATGTACATGCAGTTGAGTATTTAAATTCTTACTTCGTAACCGTTTAAGATTTCAATCTCAGTAATTGTTTCTTGAATTTTATGTTCTGACGCACAATTAGTTTTAAGAATGTGTCAAAGTAAAGTGGCACTATTTTGTAACAAATTGTTTCAACTGATAATTTGTCGGGATGAGTTGATTGATTAAAGATGAACGTGTCAGGATATACAATTTGCAGTAATTGAGATAGCCTAGAATGGTCAAAGAGCAGTCTCAAGTATCATACATTGGAATTATTTCAATTTCTTTTGATTTCAAATCAACACGCTCACAGTCATGGCAATGCCGAGAAAAATAGCTTTTGAGGTACCAAAATCGAGATTTATGCGATAATAATTTGCCGATGGGGTTCGAATAAATATCTTTGTCTAAATTAGTTTTTCGAACTTCTATAGTTGAAATGTTCATCGAGCTGGAGGCTTGGGAGAGCGAAATAGGATAAGCGATAAAATCGATGCTACTTATTTGGCATGTAGCAAGAGATGCCTTCTAATGGTTCCTCTTCTTACACCGATATTATAACATCCGAAGAAAATCTTATTAAAATTTTGATTTGATCGGTGGAGTGATTTATGAAGAATCGAAGATACTTTATCAATAGAGAAGTTGCAATCTTTAACATTGGAACCCTGGACGCCGGGTGCTTGAAAGGCAACTTAACGACATCGAGATCTACATCTGATGAAGCGTTCTTCAAGTGTCTTAGTGTTTGACAACCACATTTTTGAAAAATTGATTTGAACCAGTTATAACTCGTATTTCCTTATAATCGATGGTTAACTTGCGTTGACTTTACACCAGGTTAGTTTCAAAATTCTAGAATGTGAGAAAAGTATATCCGT